TCTAGCAGGATGCAGTGTTAGCACCTTTCATTGTTAAAATTAGGGTAATCTTAATGTGACTTTACAGAAGCATGTTGTCATAATGTCACCTTGAGAAGGCTCTTGTGAAGTCTGTATCCACAGAACCATGTCTCTTTTCTTTTTGTCTGATTCATGTGCTCATTTTCCACTCATTTGTTAACACTGATTAGGCTATGGTATAATTGCTGTTGCCTGCAGAAACAAATTTGTCAAGTTTATGTTAGCATCAAGGTTTCCACTCTATTTTGTTCCGCAGATCTCTCGGGGGGAAAATCCAGTAGAGGTGTAAATTACTGATATGTTTAAGACAGCTGAATAATAGTGTGGGGTTTTGTTCGTTTGGTTTTGTTTTTTCTTTTTTTTTTTTAAATGTCCTTTATGGGCCATTTAGAAATAGCCCACAAATTTAATGGCTTTATCCCCGTCTGCTCCAACCTCAGTCAAAAAAATCTCTCTTGTATAGTTTTGGCAGTAAGTTTGTAATGCTGCAGTTCATAGAACTCAAAAGCAGTTCTAGCAAACAGTCTAAACTTTCATGCCTTTGTTTTCCTTTTAGACAATATGCCAAGCCACTGTAACTCTCTGGGCTAATAACATGCTTTTCTGAACCATCATGTATGTATTGTGTCCTTTTCAGAGCAGACAGGGAAGAATTAACTAACTAAATGCTTCGGGACAACAGTGAATAGGAAACTTTTTTTAAGGTTTTTAAGATGAGCTAACAAAAAGCAAAGGTCACATTTAAGACGTTTTAACAAGAAGGGCACATTCTATGAAGTGGCATATTACAAAACAAATGAAATAGAAAACAGAAGTTACAGCTTCTTCCTTAGGCAACAATAGACTGAAATAGATTCTGTCTTTAAACTTTAAAAGTCCTAACCATAATAATTTAATGCCTGACCTAAGCTGTTTTGTTTGTTTGCTGTTTTTGTGTGTTTTTTTCTTTTTTTTTTTTTTTTAAAATCCATACGATATTATTAAGGAAGCTTTTTAGTGACGTGTTCACTCTGATTATGTCGAATTGTGGATGTTACACAAACGATGTTTCTTTCCTCTCTTGATAAAAATATTTGTTAAATTGCATTAAAGCAATAAAGAATAATCTAAAGCTTTCACTTGGAAGGCTGAAATTGAAGTACTGATGTCCAAACTAATTTTGCTTCTCTTTATGTTGTATCTGTTCTTATTGTAACAACTGGGAAACAGAAATGCAGGAAGGGGTTGCCTGTAGCGCTAAAGGCATTGAAGTGCATCATAAGAACAAATAGTTGTTTGTGGGAAGAACAGACTAAAGAATACAGAATATAGTAAGAGAATATACTAATGCATGCTTTGCTTTCTAAATAGAAATTTCCTCTCTATACTTAACCTTTTAGCTACTGAATCCTTAATTTTTCTGTTCATCAATACATATGGAAAGATGCAAGAGCCTTCACAGTGTAAATTTAATCTTCATAAAAATGTTGTCTGTAACCTGTAGTGTAAGATTCAAAACATGGAGAGTTTTGTTTCCCATCTACTAATTTCTGTGTTCTTATTACTTTCTACAATTTGCTTGCTACTTATCTGGAATCTTACAAAAGCCTAACAATTTTAGTTATTCTATACTGCATCAAAATCACTCTTAAAGAAATTTGATGTAGATGTTTTTCACTGATGCATTAGTGACATTTAGTTGAAGAGTTAGAGTATGGAATATAGGAGTGTTATTTTTAAATTCTTAAAATTAGCATACAGTACACTTGTCAGAGGTTTTTACTTTGCTTAATCTACTGGTATTGTTACTGCTGATACAAAGATGGAAAGAATTGGAATTCAGCAACAAAATTTTAAAAGGTAAACACTTTCCATACACTTCCGTTTTTCTTTTTTCATCTGTGCATTTTGCTGTCATAATGTCTGTTATTTCTTGCTACTGTTAATTGTGTAATTGCTTCAAGTCTACTTTTTTTTTTTAATTTTTATGAGTGGAGAACAGGTTTTATGGACCTTTGATTGATTTTCACCAAGGTTTAGAAACTGTTCTACTAGTGGTATAAAACATTTGTGGATAGTATTAAAGACCGTTTAATTATCTTGTTAATGTTGTCCCTAGTGGCATTGAAAACTAGTTTTGGTACCAGTTTGTTTAATTATAGCAATTAAAAATAAAATGGAAAAGCAACTAACCTGGATGTGATCTCCAACTTTTAAGCTGGAGACCAGTAATGTAGTAGTGAAGTGTTAAAAGGGTGGTACAGGAAAATTAGAGGGAGATGTGTGATTATAGGGAAAAGTTAGCTAATGTGTAATACTACATATTGTAAGCACAAAGTCTTCCTGCATTTTTCTTTGACCTTTTTAGGAGGGTATTAAAAATGTGCTCTAAATAAGTATATTAAATTTGATAATTAAAAATAGTAGTAATTTGTTAGTACCATTTAAAATGGATATGGTGGTTATACTTGTTACTTTTGGAGATGGCTTCTTAAGGTCAGGGCTCTGGATCACTGGGGAAACTGTTAGGAGTGGGGAATTGAAGTTCAATTTTTTTCTGTCTAGATGGGATCAACTTTCTGTTTTTTCAAGGTATATAAAAGACTTCATTTATAGTGGATTTTGACCCTTTGTATCATAGTTTCTAGTTAAACACACGTAGTCTCTTTTTAATTTTTTTTTCCCCCCAAAGTTTGGAATATAATTTTTCATTTTTTTTTTTTAAATTTGCCTCTGTTAATAGGAAAGAATTGCCGTTGAGTGTGAAAGGTAGAAGGAGGTAGTATAGAACCATCTTCAGTAGATCTTGTGCAAACTGCTGGCAGCTCTTTTTGGATTCCTGTAAGATAGACAACTGAGCTTTCAAAATACTGTGAAAACTCAAGTTGTGCAATCAGCTTAAGCTGAAATTTATCAGCTTCTTATTGGTGTGAAATGAGTTTATATATGTGTGTGGCAGTCTGACCCCGGCTGGCAGGAAGGCTCTCCCACCCTCAACCTTCCCTGAGGGATGGAGGAGTATTGTGGTTTGAGCTCAGAGGGCAACTGAGCACCACACAGCCACTCACTCCTCCGTTCTCTATCGGCAATGAGAAGGGACAAATGAGCTGGGCTTGGGATTTGAGATAGGACAGGGAGAGCAAATCACCCATTATGGTCACAGGCAAAAAGCAGACTAGGGGGAGGAAAAAAATAACATACATTTATTACAAGCACTAATAACAGCACTTAACAGAGTAGGACAGTGAGAAGCATTGCCACATCTTGAGAACACCTTCCCCCCACCCCTCCCTTCTTCCCAGGCTCAGCTCTGCTCCCGATATCTCTACCTCCTCCCCCAGTGGCGCAGGGGCAGGGAATGGGGGGTGCAGTCAGTGCTGCTGCTTTCTCCATCTTCGGTGGGGGAAGCTTCTGGAAATTCTTCCCCCTGTTTCATCATGGTCCCCCTCTCACAGGAGACAGTCCTCCACAATCTTTCTCTGATGTGAATTCCTCCCATGGGCCGCAGCGTTCCCCACACTGCTCCGTCATGGGTCACTAACTTTCTCCAACTGGATTCCCTCCCACGGCTGCAGCCCTTCCCGAGCTGCTCCGGCGTGGGACTCCCCCGCATGCTGCAATCCTCCCAGCACTGAATTACAGCAGCGGGGCTGCCTTTTCCCATGAGACCCCGGCCTTCTTCGGGCACAGCAGCTTGTTACAGTCACCCTAATAAAATAGTTTGAATCCTAGAATATTATTTTGATTTTAGTTTAGAATATGATTTTGATTTTAATATGGAGTTATAGCAGCTATGAGAATAGAAGACATGTTAAGGCCCTTAGGAACAGGTAACTAGTATGGTGTTTGCCTTGATCACTATAAGAAGCACTATGGACACTAAACACAGCTTTTTCCAGGGAATATTTATTTGTGGGTTATAAATAGAAGTTGCAGCCTGATAGTCAGTGCTACTTCAGTGCTTGCCTTTATTTGTGTGGTGGAGCCAGCAAAGTGAAGCTACACTGTTGGTACTAAAAGCTTTTTTGTTTGTTTGTTTGTTTTGGTTTGTTTCTTTTTTAAGCAAGATTTTAAAGGAGTGTGTATAACTGTTTGAATGCTATTTTAAGTTACCTGTAAAATACTTATGAACTTGATGGTAATTTATGCAATGTGAAATAATGTGAAATTTAAAATTTCTACAAAGGCAGTTTTTGAAATACAGTCTAACTTGGCAGCAATAGAATAATGAAATGCATGCTATAATAAATATTTTATATTAGATCTATGTCAGCAGTATCAGAACTGCTATGCTTCTAACTTTTATAGGTGAATGTAGACACCTATACAATGATATTAAGCCAATTTAATACATATTTATCCAATTATTTTAGTTAATACACCAATTAACTAGTATTCTGCAATAGTGTGATATGCGCTTGATTTACAGACTATGAGGTTTATTTTTTCAGAAAAAAGTTTAATGTTTTAACTAGTCATATGAAACAGTTACAAGGAAGAAGTATGTACTAAGTTTAGAATAGTAAAATTGCAAAATACAGGTTATACCCATTTAAAAAAAAACTGTACACAGTCATGTCTATGTAAAAGTTATACAGTGCTAAGTGTGTAAATTTTTTCTATACAAATGTGCTTTGTATATAGTATGGCTTAATGGACTATATTCATGTGATTGCTAGAAGGCTGTCTAAGTAGAATATGACTTTTAAATATGCTTGGAAAAAAGTATACTACTTTCAGTGATGTCTGGCTATTTAATTCAAATAACATTGTAATTTTAGAAAAATTGTTAAACTGTATAAATTTGTTAGCTTGTAAATATTTCTGCTAACTTCAGGTTCTGGAAGGTTGTGCTTAGTTACTTTTAATAGGACAAAGTGTCTTATCCAGTGCTATGTAAAGTTGTAGCAATGCAGGGTCATTTCCTACCTCATTCCTGCTTTGTGCTATCAATTTTTTTGAAGTTAATATTATATTAATTGAACTCTGTTTCCTTCTAGCTGACAGCACGATCGCTGCCTTCCATACAGTCCGACGAGAGACTACAACCTCTGCTTAATCATCTCAGGTAGCATAAGCTGAAAGCATGAGTGTCTTCTTTATACAGATTAAAATAATTGTATCAGTAGAATTTCTTAGCTATGTTTTTTTCTCATATGCCTCATCTGCCTTGACTGGGAAAAAATCCCTGAAAGCATCCCTTCAACTTAACAAAAGCTTTATAAAATGACTTGAAACATAATTTACAGAGCTGGTGTTGCTTCTAAGTAACAAGAAAATATTTGTAGCTTTTGTAAAAGCTTTTTTTTTTTATAGTAAGGGCAAAGTTGTTAAGTTTCTTTATGAACAAAACAGATTCCAAATTACACTGCTCAGAGTATGGACCTTGTTGCAAATATTTTGTGCTCTTTGATCTTTGTGGAAGATTTCTTCATCACTGACAAATGGAGTCCTATTTTCTTCTTTTAATGGACCCAAAAAGAGAGCTGAAAATGTGAACCATTAAGTGCTCTACAACACAGTTGAAATAGCCTTCCTCTCTCTTAGTAGTATATATTATATAGAAACTTTAGACTTTCTTTAAATGTTTTTGGGGATGAAGAGTAAGAAAAAATACCTTTCTGATATTCTTTAGGTTAAGCATAGATCTGGACTCGTTCTTATCTGCATGATTGTTTTTTACCGCTTTGTATTGTTTGGGAGAGTTTTCTTACTGTGATAGTATGCAGGAGGACAAAGGCTATACAATTAGAGGGAGATGCATTGGCTTAGAATTGCTGAATAATTTAGCTTGGAGTGAACCTCTGGAGATCATTTAATCTAGCCCCTTCTCAATGCAAATCTGGTTAGATGAGGTTGCTCAGGTGTTTATTCAGTTGAATTTTTAATATCTCTAAGGGTAGAAATTTACTTAAATACTGAATGTCAGTAATGAAAGCTCTGTTTTTGAACACATACAGCTTTGCATTAAGATCACTGAAATGATGTTGGTTGAATTAGAAATGGAGACAGTGAGGCTCTATCATGTCAGCACTGCACTGGATCTAGGATACAGATCTAGTTAGCATGCTCTTTATTTCCTGTGGTGCTCAAAGTATCGGTACCCAAAACCTGACATTTTATTTTGATTAAAAAAAAAAAAAATCTTGTAATTTTTATTACATAGGAACAGTTTCATGTTTTATTAGTTTTAGCGTAAATCAGAATAGGAAAAATAGCTTTCATTGTATCTCTGCTTATTTACATATGATTGAATTTTGTTCAAGAGCAGTGAATGAAAAATATATTGCAATGTAACTGTTACGCAGCTGGTTAAGCAATACTTCTGAATGCCAATAACCTTCCATGTTTTTATTACCATACATTTTACTGGGATTTAAAAAAATACCCCTCAGTGGCATACCTTCCTTCATTTGAAGCTAAAGAGCAACTAGGTTAACTTTTTATAAATTGCACACTTTAGGAGTCATTACTGAGAAATTTGAAATTTCTTTTGGTATATGCTATGCATCTATGTAAGTGGAACAGCCTTCAGTATCAGAGCAATCACAATCCTCTCTGCTTTTTTTTTTTTTTTTAGTATGGGAAAAGGAAAGGTTGCAAAAAAAAAGTAGTTTAACATCAGCTACTTTAACAGGGATACTGTATCCTACATTTGTGCGAAAAGATATTTTTTGCACATTCTTGTGTTAACTTGAATATGTATGTTTAATGACTGGTAAGTTACTTGCATTTTGCTTTTGTGAAAATGGAGGGGCTATACCCAGTACATTTTGTCACCAGTCGAAGAAAACCACACAGATGCTTCTGAGTTGCCTTTTTGGAAGTTCCTTTGAAATAGACAAAATACATCAAACCATACAACTTGAAAAACAAGCTCTTGACAGTGATCAGACAGCTGACTTAATAGGTCTTCTCTGTTATTTATTTCTGTGATTCTGTGATTCATTTTTGTTTCATTTTACTCATAAGAAAGGAGAATATTAGTTGTAGGATTTTTCTCTACCTTCATTGTATGAATTCTTACAGCGGTGTTTTATTTTTGGCATATGTCAATAGTGCTTTATCAGGGGAGCAAAAGCTTAGATAGAAACGTATGAAAAGAGCATACAATTGAAGGTTACAGACCATTGTTTGCTTGTTAATGCTCCACACATTTCTTGGCAGCTATTCATATCTGCTTTCAACTTTTAAATTAGCTAGTCCTTAGAAAAGGTCATTTTACTGTGGATTATGGCTTCATATATATTTTAATCCATGCCCATTTTTATAAAATGGACACAACTTTTTAATTGGACTGTTCTGGACTAAATACATATTTTATCTCTGATTTAGGTTGTCTTTTTGTGCTATTCTGTTTCACTGGTGCTTTCTAATATTAATTGTACTAAACTCACAAAAAAGACAGCATTTTTAGTTAAAATGTTAAAATATTTGATGCAAGATTGTGTTTAGGGATTTCACATGCTCACAGTAGGTTACAAGGAGATTTAAATTACTAAAACTTTAACAATTTAATAGAAATGGAAACTTTATGTCTAAATGCATGATAAGAACACTTCTGCAACTCCTGCTTTCAAATGACTTTATGTGGGTTTTGTGCTGAAATTATAGGTTTGTGACACCACTGTTTAAAGTCTTCCGCAGGAATAATTTCAAAGATAGGCAAAGATAGGTATGTAATCCCATCAAATGACTATAGGACTGTGCCTGTATGTGAAGTATAAGTAGAAGATGAGTTGACTTTATTTAGTCTAGTAAAGAGGAGGTCTAGGAATGATCAAACAGCAGCCTACAACTGTTTGAAGGGCAAACATCGCAGAATTGGAATTCTTGATGGTGCCAGAGGTTGTAACAAATGACAGTGGTCACACATAGCTGGGAGCTCCAGATCGGACATTAGGAAAAATGTCTCTGCTAGAAATACAGGTGCAGCAGATTGCCTAGAGATGTGCAATCTTGGTTCATGAAGAATTTTAGGATGCAGCTAGAAAAGGCTGTGTCTCACGTGACTAGTGTTGGCAGTAGTCCCAGTTGAAGTGGGGTGTGGGACTATATGGTCTTCTAACATCCTCTACAACCAACGTTTTGTATGATTCTGTTAATTCTGTCTTCAAATGATAGCTCACAAGGTTGATACAGAAACCAAGTGTTTTGCAAGACTAGATTTTTTTTTAATGCATAACACAATACTCGTGCAGACATGTTTGCCCTCCTTCTTGCTCATGCTCACCTCACAAGCAAATAGAGTGCACACCTTAATAGACCGCTGTCATTTACTATTCTCAACATCTACAAAGTGCCCCTCATATCTTTACTAAATCTCATGATATCTAACACATCTGTGAATGATACAGTATTTATCAGAACAGTCCTACAGCTGTTTATTTGAAAGATATAGATCCCTGTTGTTGTTTGAGCCTGGAGGGCAACTGAGAACCACCAGCCACTAACTTGCCCCTTACGCATCAGGAATGGGAAGGAGAAAATACAACAAAAGGCTCAGGAATCGAGATAAGGACTGAGAGGGATGACTCGCCCATTACAGTCATGGGCAAAAAACAGGCTGGTTAGGGGAAGAAAAAAGAACGTCAGTTTAATTCATACACTAATAACAATGCTTAACAAAACAGAGTAGAACAGTGGGGAGCTTTATTACATCTTATAAACACCTCCCTCCACTCCTCCCTTCTTCTTGGGCTCAGCTTTGGTCCAAATTTCTCTAACTTCTCCCCCCCAGTGGCTCAGGGGACAGGGAATGGGGTTCTGGTCAGTCCGCTACTCCTTCCTCCTCAGGGGGAGGGATGCTCACATTCTTCCCCTGCTCCAGCGTGGAGTCCCTCTCACACGAGACAATCCTCCATGAACTTTTTCTGATGTGAGTCCTTCCCACAGGTCCCAAACTCTTCCTGAGTTGCTCCGTTGTGTGTCCTTCCCACACGTTGCAGTCTTCCCAGTGCTGAACTAGAACAACGGGGGCTTCTTCCCACAGAGTCCTGGCCTTCTCCAGGCACAGCCACCTGCTCGGGTGTGGGATCCTCCACAGGCTGCAGGTGGGCATCTGTTCCACCATGGACCTCCATGGGTGACAGGGAGGGTGACCCTGCCATCTCACCATGGGATACAAGGAGGGCTTTGCTCTGGCACACCTCCCTCCCTTCCTCCTCCTTGCTTGCACTGACCTTGGTGTTCACACAGATGTTTTTCCTTGTAATTCTTCCTCACAACTCCCAACTCCTCCTCCCAGGTTTCCCTTTTTAAATACGTTATTGCAGAGGCACAGCCACCATCGCTAATTGGCTCAGCCCTGGCCAGATGCAGGTCTGCCTTGGAGATGGAGTAGCTTCAAGAAGCTTCTCACAGAGTCCAGTGCTGTAGCCCTCTTCCCTGGCCCCCCACCCCCAAACACAGAACAATCCCACTCTTGGAAACACTGATACAGTGGAAGTTTCCTCTTGGTCAACAGTGGTGTGAATGTATATATTGATATGTTGCAAGATATGTTTAGAAAACTTCAGGTAACTAAGATTTTGGATTTTTAGAAAGGCAGTTTTTAAGTAATGGAGTTGGTCTTTTCTAAGCAAACTTTTTCTGTTTGCTTACCATGCTGAGAATAGTTGAGCTTTACAGAGTCCAAAAAGTATAATTTCTTCTTCTCCCCTGCAACCTTTGCACTGGGATTTCTGTCCTTGCAGTAAAGTTTCCTATGAAGCTCAGTTGTAATGGTCAGCAAGATTCAGAGAGTATGTCCTCTTTTTAACAGTGACTTATGAAGTCTTACTTTGTTCATTTACTGTGTAGGAAAACTTCCGTGTCTTCTCTTGGGCTTCCTCTTCCCAGTCCAATTCTTTCTACGGATGCTAGCAAGAAGTGGTTTTCTTTAGCTTAGCAATTTTTTTCAGTATTGGTATAATTCTAATCATATGCAAGCAGATGAACTGAAGTGATTATGGTAGAGCAGCTTAAAAAGTTACCACCTCTCATCCTGGAAAGTGATAACTGACTGAATGGTAATTTGCCTAATTGCTTTACAAAAAAAAAATAAAAAAAAAGAATTGCCTAATCAACAGCTGTTTTCTGTTCTGTGATTTGATTGTAATATTTTTTGGAACTGTGCTTTTTTTTTTTGTTTGTAGTTTGCCTAAGTGAAGTGATGCAGATCTGGTTCTACAAGGAAATTTAGATACTTTAAAAAGTAGAATCAGTAGTAATAAGCATACACAGCTCAAATACTTTTAATTATTTATCCATTGCTGTGTAATGAAAAAAAAATCTATTAAGTGCAGTAAGCTTGCCTGGTTCTCCTGTGTGTGCCAGAAAGAAGACTGAAGAAGGAATGAATGCATGTATAATTAAACAAATGATTTGTCTGGTAGTAAAATCAACTCTTAGCTATATGCTTTTCACACTCCACAGTATTGAAATGTCACAAAATAATCTGTAGCACCTAATGTCAACATTTAGCTAAATTCCTTTTTTTCTTGTGGTAGCCTCTATATGTCTTCTGAAGACTTAAGAAATGGTCTTTGTTAATTTCCTTGCAAAATCCCTTTTGCACAAAGAAATTTGTTCTTACCCAGACTTTGCAACCTGATTTTTTGACCAATATCCTGTATCCAGAGCCCCTGTTGGCTTTATTGCTTGCTGTACTGTCAACTCCTGATTTCATTTGGGTTCTGCTGTAAGCATTTCTCTTGGCCTATTCTGCAGCCCTGCATATATCCTTATTCAAGAAGTCTGTATATTTTAAAGTTAAAGCTGGTTATTAGATGCTTGTATTTGATTTTGAATTACTTTGATGACAATGTCTACATGACTGTCTCTGCTATATTGTAGGGTTACCTCAGCTAAATTCAGGTATCTGAAGTAGCTTTGTTTCAGTATGAATGAAAGATGAGGCAGCACATGCAAAGTCCTGTGCAATTTTGTCTAGACAGCTACTGCCAGGAGTTAACATGTGTTTGTAAACTATTACCGCAGTAAAAGCCTTCCCAGCTTTTTACTGGTATACTTAAGTACTTTTGAGTTTTCCTTCATGGTAGATGTTCATAGTGATATATCAGTTGTGAGGTTTTTTGATTTTGTTTGTTTGTTTTTATAAAGTTTGTCTTTATAAAGTGCTAAAGTACAAGAGGTTCTTGATTACTGGAAGAAAGCAAAAGTGAACCTTGCCTTCACAAAGAGTAAGGAAAAGGATCCATGGAACTATAGGCTGGTGAGCCTCATCTCAGTTCCAGATGTATGGAGGGCAAGAGGGTGACCATCAGTTGTCAGCATGGATTTGTGAATGGGAAATTATGCTTGACCAACCTCATTGCTGGCCATTTTATCATAGAAGCCTCACTGGATGGGGGGAAAGCAGTAGATGTTTATCTTTGTGGCAGGTGCATCCACCCAATGAAAATGTGGCTCCCTGGCTGTTGAACCTTTCCTGTGCCCTTGTTCTCAGGGCTTTACGGTAGTTGGAGTCCTCAGTCAATCGGGGCTGGTATTGACCACAGGTCAGATTTGGCTCAGGTATAAATAGAGTCCCTGGGGGAGCCGTTTTGAGCTAGTCCCTCCCAGAGCAGTGTGCTGCAGGTAGGGACTCTCCCTTTGGGTTGGGATGCTGCCCAAGGAAACTCCTTGGGGTTCTTATGGGTTGGGAGGCTTCTCTAAGATGTTCCTTGAGGTTGAGAGTTCTTACCTTTTATTAGGTGAGTGATTGAGCATTTTGGGTTGTTTTTAAACCCCAGAAGTTTGTTCTCCTCTCACAGACATTTGAACTTGCTGTTTGTATGTTTGTGGAGTGTTGATTAATTGTGTATAAAAATAAATTTTGGTTTTTATTTTCTGTTTGTTTGGGAGTTTCTGCAACAATCTTGACTTCAGCAAGACTTTTTGACACTGTCTCTTGTAACATCCTCATTGACAACTGATGACGTATGGGCTGGGTAAATGGACAGTGAAGTGGACTGAAAACTGGCTGAAGTGCTGTGCTCAAAGGTTTGTGATCAGAGGCATTAAGAGCAGCTGGAGGCCAGTCACTAGTGGAGTACCTCAGGGACTGTTACCAGGTCCTGTATTGTTTAGCTGCTTCTTTGATGTCCTAGATGATGGGCCAGGGTGGGCACTCTGCAAGTGTAAGATGATACCGGGAGGAATGGTTTACACGAGGTGGGTGTGCTGCCTTTCAGATGGACTTGGACAGGCTGGAGAAATGGACTGACAGGAACCCTATGAAGTTCAACAAAGAGAAGTACCAAGCCCTGCATCTAGGGAGGAATAGCCCTGCGTACCAGTATAGGCTGAGGGCTGAACGGCTGTCAAAGAGGACCTTGAGGTCCTGGTGGGTAACAAGCTGACTGTGAGCCACCAGTGTAGCCTTGAGGCGAAGAAAGGTAACAGTCTCTTAGACAGCATTAGGTGAGCACTCCCAGCAGGTCGAGGGAGGTGATCCTTCCCCCATACGCAGCACTAGCGAGGCCACATCTGGAGGGCTGTAGTCAATCCTGGGCTCCCCAGCACATATGAGGAGAGGCTGAGAGAGCTGAGATTGTTCAGCCTGGAGGAGATAAATTTCAGGAGGGCATGTGTGTGAATCTTATCAGCACGTATAAATAGATGTCTGATGAGGGAGAGTAAAGAAGACAGAGAGAGACTCTTCTCAGTGGTATCCAGTGATAGGCCAGGAGGCAATGGGCACAAACTGAAATACAGAAAATTCCACTTAAACATAAGGAAACGCTTTTTTATTGCCAGGGTGGTTAAACACTGGAACAGATTGCATAGGAGGTTATGGAGCCTCAGTCCTTGGAAATGCTCAAGACCCAGCTGGATGAGGCGCTAAGCAACCTGCTGTAGTTAACTATTTTGAGCAGGGGGTTTGACTAGATGTTCTTCAGAGGTCTCTCTCAGTCTCAACAGTAGTGTGATCCTGTGATCCAAATCCTGAATCACCCCTCCCCACTCCTCTCAGATAAAGGGAGGGAGGGTTTCTTTACCATGTTGACGCTAGTGTTGGTTTTATAAATATTAATTACTTGCATAACTGTCAAATATTGTTCTATTGATTTTGCCTGATACAAAATACTTTCAGCCCTTAATTGGTAAGATAATTTCTTTCTAAATTTGTAAACTTAAAAAAAAAATATATTTTTTAACAGTTTTAAATAATGTTGTACTGTTTGCTTTGTTTTTCAGCCATTCTTATGTTGGCCCAGATTACAGCGTGCAAAAGAACACTGGAAAAATTTCACTAGAACAGATAGATGCTGTAAGTCCTCTGTGTTTATTGAGCCATGTTGTATGTTGATATGTAACTTCTTAAAATTCAGTATTCTACGTACAGATAAGATATAAAGCCTTTATATTTTTTTATTTATATTTGCTTTGTAACTCTTGAGAATTACTTGAATGAAATTGTGATAAAGTTTAACATGGAGCAGAATTAACTGAAAATGCATCTCATCAGGATTTAGGCTGGAGCTATAATGAATTGCTTAATTTGCTGCTTAATTTTGTGTACTTTCACAAATACCTAACATAATTATAAACAGAGTTTAACAAAATTTTCTTATTTAATAATTTTGCAGCCCATGATGTTTAGCTTATGATTATTGCATTGCAATATTAGTCTTTTCAGTGCTGTTCTTGTGACTTTTGACTTACAGAAGGTTTTTCCAAAACAAGGAAGTAAATAAAATGGATTGTAAAACCACCTCAGTGGTGCAGAGACAGTTAAAACCACATTACAACACCTTTATCTGAACTTCAGAAATCATTTGTATTTTCACTGTCCATCTTAACCATGACAGTTCTCCTTTGGTAGTGAATTCCAGACACGACTCAGATGTTAAAAATAAAAGTGCAAAGCCCAAGTAAACTTGAATGCTATAGTTTTTTCTGTCTGAGATCTTGCTTTATAAGAAATAGTATTCTTCAGGGGAAAAAACCTGCAGATCAGTTGTAATGGATTTTACTCCAGCTTGTAGTTTTTCAAAGATGTTTAAAAAAACCAAGCAATCCTCCCCCACCCAGCTCCCAACCCCAGAATACTCTAACAAAGGTCACCTTGCCATTCCAGAAGCTAAACCAGGGAAAAATCAAGAAACACTCTAATGGAACTGTGGATACATTTTTCATGACGGCAATTCAACCTTTCTTACTTTGTAACTGAAAAATAATTCTGATACTACCACCTGTATTACTCTGTCCTTTGGATTTGTTCTTGAGATGGTTATTGGACATGACGGCTTAAGGACACACTTCTGTTATCATCAGTCCCAAGGTGCTCTGCGCATGCATATCTTTTCTTCCAGCCATTGACATTTTCAAGTGGAGCTAATGAATAATCACAATAAGCATATCTCCTACAAATTAAATGATCAGTATGCCTTAAACAAAAATTTTTCTCTCCACAGCTTTCTGTGAAATCATTCCCTCTTTGCATGCGCCAGCTGCACAAAGGGCTACGTGATAGCCATCATCTCCGGCACGGGGGCCGTATGCAGTATGGACTGTTCTTAAAAGGCATTGGCTTGACTCTGGAACAGGCACTGGAATTTTGGAAGAAAGAATTTATCAGAGGAAAAGTGGATGCAGACAAGGTAATTTAGCAAATGAAAAATATCTAAATATGCGAATGTGAGGATGTAGTTAATGTGTACATTGTGCTACATATTTGGATAGATGCTTGTTAGAGTAGATAATTTGGCAAAAGGCAAAGTAATGTCTTAAAGTTTGTTGGTTTGGGTTTTTTTTCCCTTTACTTAGGATTTTATTCATTTTGTTGGTCATTCTCCTGAAACATAGGAAAAAAGACAAGCCACAAAGAGGCTTTTAATAGATGAGGACTAGAAGAATCTTACTTTACCACTAAATCAGTAGGAAAGCAATGCTCTTTATGAAATACAGGTACAATGTGACTAAATTAATTCACCAAGCAGGTAAGTTTCCACAAGCGATACTGTCTGAAAGTCAAGGTTAGCCCTTTTTTGTTGTTTAATTAAAAAAAATTAATTGGACAGCTGTGTGTAAGGTGAGCTTGCCTTCGCAAATTTACAGTCAAATAATAAAAGAAGAAACTGGAGGGGAGCTAAGACAGAAGAATATATTCAAGGAAATAGCAAGAAAATGCTGTTCAGTGCAATGAACAGTATTATTCCCCTCCAATACTTAAAGGGGGCCTACAGGAAGGGTGGGGAGTGACTCTTTATCAGTGACTGTAGTGATAGGATGAGGGGTAATGATTTTAAACTGAAAGTGGGTAGATTTGGATTAGCTATAGGGAAGAAATTCTTCCCTGTGAGGGTGGTGAGGCACTGGCACAGGTTTCCCAGAGAAGCTGTGGCTGCCCCCTCCCTGGAAGGGTTCAAGGCCAGGTTGGACGGGGCTTGGAGCAACCTGGTCTGGTGGAAGGTGTCCCTGCCCATGGCAGGGGGGTTGGAACTAGATGATCTTTAAGATGCCTTCAAACCCAAACCATTCTATGATATGATTCTATGATTGGCATATTAGTTATTGGTCTAACCCCTGCTAATATTTTTGAGAGTATCATGAGTGAGGAAGATGAAACATACATGTGCTGACTTTTTGAGAGCATGAAAAATGTACACTAATTCTTGGAGGTTTGTGACCTGCTCCTTACCTTCAACAGCCTAGGTAAAGTCAAGCAGGGTTCCTCTCTCATCCATCTCTGCCTAGCCTGTGGTTTGTGTTAGAGCAGATGTTTCAGACCTTACGTCAGTTTTGTTCTGAATATGATATTTTACATTTAATATTGTGAGATCTCAGCTTTCCAGAGTAGTCTGAAGTATTTTGGAGTGTTTGGTAGACAATCTTTTGTTAGCTTAGGTTCTCTGGGACATGGCTATTTGTATAAGATACAGGGCAAAAAGTAATTCTGGCAGCAATGGATTATGGTACATATGTCTGTTTCAAGTCCTGGAAGATAGATCAGATTTTTTGGGAAGGAGAAAGGGATTTGAAGGTGTGATTTGAATGAGTACCTAAACCTCTGTACATCTAGCTCCTTAAATGGGATATGATTTAAGAGGAGATTTGAATTTTAGTAAAAAAAAAAAAAAAATCAAATATGCATTCCCTTACAAAGGTTTCAAGAAAGGATTTGAAGAGAGGTAATAACTTAAATTTTGCAGCTGAATGCCAATTAATTTCTAGCTGAATTCAGGAAAATACAGACTTTTCTGTTGTAATTTCCTGTGCTTAAATGAAATTGAAAGAATAAAAACAAGCTATCAGAAACAGTAACAGTGTAAATATATACACTTATTATTTCTGTTTTGAAAAAATATTATGTGAACAGGTCCAATTCTACCTGCTTGTGCTTTGACCCTAGGTGTATACACATGTATGAAGAGATGTATGCACCTTGGAACCTGTTTTCAATCACAGTGTTATGACTTTCTACTATAGTATCTCTCTTGATAGGTCCTAGAAATAGATGTTTTATGATCTTGTGTTTAGCTTTGTACGTTAGAAAGCATATTTTGAATGAAGGAAGGAGTTCTAGTTACTGCATTTTTCACAAGCAGGATGCTATTTCCATGTAGTTTTCGTTCTTCTCAAGTTTTAGAGAACCAACTTCAGACTTGAGGTAAAAAAAGCTGATTTTTCACATCCGTAACAGAAATCAGTGGCCTGTGGTTTTTCAAAGTAAAATGTCATATAATGTTTAATGTCCCAAAAAAAAAGGAAGATTAGTATAATTCTTATTGGTACTTTATTTTTTTTGACATTTTTATTTTCTGACACTCATGCCATTGTTCCTTTCCTGTAGAGTGGAGATAATGATACTGTTTCATCTTACTGGAGTATTGTGAAGATACATGCATGATACTTGCTAAAGACTAAGGTTAATTATTCCTTACTGACTGTTGTACTGTAAAGAGGGAGTGCTCAATTTACTGCGAAGGGTTGTGGTTTCAAAATTGTGTGTTCATGTTCATCTTTAATGGCTGCAACGTGTATGCCAGTTCTCAGTCCTAAGAATTCTTGGCACACAATTTCAGTCTTCAGCAGGACAGAAGTTACCTTGAACACAGCAGTGCACTGGAGAGCCTACCACGAGGCTAAGCATAGGCAGAATGAAAATTTGCACCAAAAAGAACTCCTTCTGTGCTCTGAATCACTGATGTGGACATACCCCAGGGCTCATTGATAAAAACACTGTAGAAAAGTTTTTGAGAAACAGTATTTCATCTTGAGAGAGGAATTGTTAAAAGTATGTTGTAAATGAAGTGTGAAACCATGTATTCAGTGGAAGGAAAATAATTAAGTAGAGCCTACAAAGAAAGCACTGAAACTGGTAGAGATGCTCTGTTAGGGGGCAGAATGATCATATGCTGTCACGTTCACAACAAGCACAAATTCAGAGCTCAAAATAAAACATTTTTTTCTTTAGACACTGTGACTAAAATTTCTCTGCAAATTGCTAGGCTAAGAGTGCCTAAATGGTAAATTATCGTTCAGATGATAGAATCAACTGTCAAATGGTGGTAGATGTGTTACTTCTGACTGAATGGTTATGCCAGTAGGTTTTATAACCTCAGTGTTACTTTAAGGCTGGTTTGTTTTTTTCTGTAAAATGTAATCTTACTCTAAACAGATATTAATTCACATAGATTCTTTCACATCCTGTTCTTGTTGCTTAAAATATAACTCCTCCATGCACCAAAAAAGAGGGGCATAACTCCAGTATGGTTTTAAAATACTTGGAACGAGAAAGTAATAAGATGAGTCAAGACTGATTAAATAATTAAAATGCAGTTGAAAAAATGCTCTGATATTTGAAAACAAAATTCTCTTATAGTGGTGGTGGTTACTTGGCGGTTACTGTTTTCAGATCTACTTGTATGATTAGTCTGTGAATGTGAAATTGGAGACTTCAAAGATGATGCAGTGTTTACAACAAAGGAAAGAATGAAAGATGGATCAGTTACTTTAAGACATTATTCAGTTACTTATTTAGCTAATAGCCTGTGTCGTGGTTTAACTCCAGCCGGCAACTAAGCACCACACAGCTCATTCTGCACCTGGCAGTGGGATGGGGGAGAGAACTGGGGGGGAAGTAGAACTTGTGGGCTGAGATAAAGACAATTTAATAGGACAGAAAAGGAAGGAGTAATACTAATAATGATAATAGAACATACAAAACAAGTGATGCATAGTACAGTTACCACCTGCTGTCTGATGCCCATCCATCCCCGACAATTCCCCCTAGTTTATATACTGGGCATGACGTCATATGGTATGGAAATACCCCTTTGACTCATTTGGGTCAGCTCTCCTGGCTGTGTCCCCTCCCAGCTTCTTGTGCACCCCCAGCCTCCGCTGTCAGAGCAGTATGAGAAGCTGAGAAGCCCTTGACTTAGTATAAACACTGCTTAGCAACAACTAAAACATCAGTGCGTTATCGGCATTATTCTCATCCTAAATCCAAAGCACAGCACTGTGCCAGCTACTAGGAAGAAAAATAACTTTATTCCAGCTGAAACCAGGACAGCCTGGAATCAAGGTTTTGATGCAGATGGATGACTTTAAGGAAACCCAATAGTACCTTTTGCTTTCCTTTGATTCGTATATACTTGTAATATATATTCCTTTTCTTAGCAGTATTTAGTGCAAGGTGGTACAAAATGCTATCTTCTAGTACTCTCTACTCTGATTATTTACCAGAAGAGACAGTTGCTAGTTGTGCACTTCTGTGTTGAAAAGTAATTCCTTTGATATTGCAATTTGATATTGCACTGATTTTTGTTATTGTTGCATATGCTACTGAAGTGCATCTGAAAACTGTGTAAGAGCTTGGTTTTCATTTATTAATTTATTTAATAAATCTCCAAAACCTAAGCTTTACTATATTTACAAAATTGCCCTGACAACAGGACTGCTTTCTTGTCCTTGTGAGTTTATGCTGAGAATGAGACATGGCTGTTTAGCCCCTGTGTTCTAGGACTCTTTCCTGGGGGATGTGGTGGCATTCAGGCTAGTGAAGCCTCTTATTCTTCCTCACTTAATTTTCCAGATCACCTTACTGCAGTTTCATATGGCTTGTTGCTTTCTACAGCAGTTGGTCACAAGTGGCAAGGAGTAGGTTGTTTTCTAGTTGTCAGGGGTTCCTGTCTAAGGTATACCTCTTCATCCCTTCCTGCTAGTGAAGGTCCTCATGACAGATATTTTCCTGGAAGAAGGAAGAGGAAAGTTTACTCAGACTTAACCTTGCTCAGGGGCTGTGATTTGTTAAGAAGCAAACCCTTCACAATGAAGCTTTTGAGTTTCAGTTTGTTATTAATATATTCTAGATGTTTCTTCCACACATGATGGTCATATATGAAACTGAGGACAGCCAGCTTGCCAGCCTACTGTATCAATATACAAAGGAACACATCTCCTACTGTTCTTCTGTTAAGAAGTGAATAAAATTTGGGATGGAGAAACATCCCAATGAGATAGTTCCAGTGATTTGATTTTGCTGGCTCTTCCGTTTCTTTTCCAGATGATCTTAGGATGTCCTTGAATCTGGATTCAGGAGTGAGGCTTTATATTGACTGCAAACAGCTGGTGGTGAAAGTTTCTACCAGGACCT